TAGGTGTAGGAGGAGTAGTAGGAGTAGTAATAGTAGCAGCATCAGCAGAAGTAGTAGTAGTAGCAGCAGCAGTAGCACTAGTAGTAGTAGTAGTAGTAGTAGTAGTAGTAGTAGTAGTAGTAGTAGCAGCAGCAACAGTAGTAGTAGTAGTAGTAGTAGTAGTAGTTGTTGTTGTTGTAGTAATAATAATCGTCGTCGTCGTCGTGGTGATCGTGCTTGTGCTCGTAGTGGTAACCTGTCTCTTGTCGTTGCTGGTTCTGTTGCTTCGGCCTTCTTGATACTGCTATTGGTTATTTGCTTTCGCAAACTGGAACTTTTACCGTTCAACGTTCGGAGTTTCATGGTTCGGAGTTTGCACTGGTTGTTTGATGGCGTTCACGGTATCCAGTTGCTGTGTTCGGGGCTTAGGCTCCGGATTCCGGACAGTCAAGTGTTTCCGGTGTGGCTTCAGGGTTTCGGCTTCACCAATTTAGACCCATGTGTTGGGCTCCGTGCATTGCATTCAGCCTTCAAGGCATTGGATTTTGCGAGTGGGGCTTGAGCGTTCTTAAGTGGGGGGGATAAATGCCTTGAGTATTCTTAGACTTGGAGGTGTTCGAGTTAGGGCGTTGGGCTTGTTATGGTTTCAGGGTCTATTTACGGTTCAGCGACGAAAGTGCCGTTGGGACTTTAGCATTAATTAAGCTTGGGAGGCGCGCAAGCAGGAGCAGTACATGAACGACATGTACTTCTGAAGGGTACTCCGGGACCGTACCATGGCAAGTGCCAAACGAGTGGATCAAAAAAGGAGCAAGAGCAAAGCATTTCCGCAGGCTTTCCCATCACCTATCAAGATACGGACCAGATAGTACAATGATGGTAGAACTTGATCCCGGGCAGTTTCACCGCTTAGGGGACGGCATGTCTTGCCTGCAATAATTCGATGAGTTAACAGCCGTAATTCGATGATTAACTCGGCAACCTTAGCTTCCGTGTGATCTTCGCACGGTATCGTCCGAAGGTGCGGAGGAGGGAACGGAAGAGTTTAAAATTCAAGGCTGCCGACTTCGGCACCCCTATAACCGTCATCCATCCTTTTGACGGAACACAGTGGCTGAGCCTAATCGATCCTGATATCCACAGTAGCGCGAGCTAGAACTTCGACACTATCGAAAGTGAGGACTGCGGGAGTGCCCTTCTCGCACAAGTTTCACTCGTCACAAGATACCCGCCGAAGCAAATAAAGACGAGTGGTCCCAACGACAAGAAAGCTGACGTAGTGAAAACGGGACTGTAGCAACAGGAGGATGGGTTTTAGTATTGGCAGGGTGCTAGCCTTGAGAGTAGTACTTGTACCTACAGAAGCAGCACGGGTACCGTGGACAGTCTCCATACCTCTCGGATGAAAGCAGAATGGAGTCACTGCCAGAATACTCGTCGAACCCATACGAACACTTGTGGCGAAGTAAGAGTTGAAGCCACGACAGACAGCTGGTCGTAGTAGTGTAGTGGTAACAGTAATCAGTTGGAGTGGTAGTGGTAGAGAGCCCCGATCATGAGGCTAGTGATCTTGACAGCACTGCTTCTATTCAAGCAGTAGTTGTCAAAGTCTGATTCGTTGTGCTAGTTGCTTCTATACAAGACACATGTGATATGCGGAATAACCGAAACAGGGACATCGCCTACATTCCGGTACTTGAGTTTGAGGATGGATACCAAGAAGTCTTCTCGTTACGATACATTCTGCTTGCTACAGCTATGGCCTTCGTGACGGACCTAAATTTTAACAACTGAACCTTACAAGCGTTCCTTCTTATCCTGCTCCTTCTGGCACAATTCGATAGCCGAGGGGTCGGAATCGGGACAGCCCGAGCCACCAGTCTAGTGCGAGTCCATGACGGTGTAGAAGCATGAACGGTAGTAAGATGAGAAGCAGTAGAGAAAGTTTCTGCAGAGGGGCCACTTATGGCCACTTCGTCAGGAAAGAAGTTTTTGTTGATATGCTTGGGTTCCTGGTTACGGATATCGTGGCACATCCACACCATGGATGACTCGATCATAGATTTCGTGCATGAAGGGGCGTAAGGCTTCAGAGCGTTTAGCGCAGGGTTTTGGTTACAACAATCCCCATCCCTTAAACGTCGAAATCCTAAACACACACACTCTTAGTGTACGATCCTCGAGTGTTGTTGTAAAGGGCTTTTCAGGGGGAAAAGGTCGTTTCACCCTTGTCAGGAACCACGCCGAAAAAGTCCACATGAGGACACTGAGCCTCCCCCCCCCCCCAACTTTAGCTGATTGCACCCCGCAGTGTCGCATCTACTGCCTAACTGTCAGGTAATGGCAGGTGCAATGACAGATCTGTCCTTCCAAGCTTCGGTGGTGCAAGCGCCCCGGTGCCGACTTCGTTACTAATTCGATGAGGGGATGCAATGTTTCACTGTGGCGGCAAAGCCACCTGGGATAAAACGACGGACGACATAGATCACTGACATCACCTGATTCGGGGGCATCCGAACCAGCGATGCAGGCCTCAAGGCATCAACATGGGAGGGGGCCAGGTGCCTTACGCATCGTGGAGGTCAGCAAAAAGTGGTGGCTGTTGTGATCGCTTCGCACTGGAGATTGTTTGCTGTGTCTTCCAAATAAGTACCGCGCGCCTTTTGCGTGGTAATCTGATGTGCTGGCACTGCACTGTTAGACCTAAGGTTTTGTCAAGGAATGTGGCGTTTGTGCGATCGCATAAGTAAAGGCCCATTAGAGAGGGAACGGCAAAGGCAGGGAGGAATCGACAGAAGGACGGATGAATTTATGTAAGCTACTTTCAGCATTCGTGCCAGTAGATGTGACGGTTTTAAGATTGAATGAGCGAGACAGTGAATCACTGAGCCCTGGCTGCCTCTCTTCGTCTCTCCCTTTCCTGCTGCGCGCAGATATGCAGATGAATAGATACATGGGAGTTTCCGAAAATTAGGGTACCTTATTTTGGGGTCCTTATAATAAGGATCCTATTATTTAGGGTATTATATTAGGGTCCCCTATTTTTGGAAATCCCCACATAATACATACAAGACTGCCGTAAACCCAGACCAGACAAGCTACAAACTGGGAGTGAGGTCGTGACAGAAAGTGAGAGAGCTAGGATCGGCAGACAGACCCAAAGTTGAAGACTACAAGCAGGACCACATGTAGGTTGTGTTCTAAATGAGGGTCCCTTTTCAGGTCCCCAATAAATATGGTACGGCACTCCTATAAAAAGGACCCCAAAAGCGACGCTAATGTAGAGAACTACCCATATGCAGTCGCAAAGGCTGACTGAGAGGTGCCCACTGCTGAGCCAAACCTCAAGCCTTGTGGCAAGGGCTCTACCGTCTTTGCTTGATGCCGACGTCTTTTCCTCAGCTGTAGGCTTGGTGCCAGTCCACATCTTTCCTGGCCGACACCCCATCACGAAGCTTCACACCTCAATCCACATCGACATCCTACTCCTACGAAAGCCGGAGTCATAGTTGCAGTTTAAAGGCTCTACACTACTCCAGGCTGGCCATGACCTCCCACACCCTTAAACCATCTTCTGCTTGAGATCCTACGGACGCACAAGTCGATGTGCTGGCCAGATTTCGCCTTCGAAAACAAGCTTTAGCCTTTAACTTTCCTAGCCTCGCGGTGCATCCAGAGCCCATCCACGAGCAGCGCGCAAGCCCAAACTACCACGCAGCCAGGGTTCCCTGAACCGCTAAGCACTAAACCCTAAAGCCCTACACCCCTACACTCCTAAGCCCCGAAGCTCCTAAACCCCTAAACCCCTAAACCATAAACCAACCTAAACCCTAACCCCCCCATGAGTCTCGCATGCACGGGCTAACTGGCCATGTGACTTGGAGCTTCAGAGCCGGGGCCTCGCGAGACCCTGGGAGTGAGGGATTAGTATAGGGGCCTTAATAAGTAGAAGAGGGTGCCTTTAAAGGGATCCTTAAAGGGTTCTATAAGGGATCTATGATAGGGTTCTAATATAGGGGCCTGCATAATTAGAATAGGGTTTTTGGGTTTAGGGTTTAGGGTTTAGGGGTTTATGGTTTAGGATTTAGGGGTTTTGGGGGTCCTTTATAGTATAGTGATAATATGGAACCCCCAACATCAGATAGGTAGTTATTGAGGCCCCTATCTTATGGCTGGTCTTTGTAAGCAAAGGAGTGACGTTTAGGGTTTAGGGTTTAGGGATTATTGCAGTCCTCGTTTTTTCGTTGTGGTCCTAAGGAACAGAGAGGCTGGGAGAAAGTTTCATTCCCCATCCTTAGGCGCTATAAACCCTAAGCCCTTGCTTGATGGTACGATGGATTTGGGCTTGGGGCTGTGAAGCCTGGGGTGCAGAGCTTACGGTTCCGGGTGTGGAGGCAGTCTAGTCTGTTTGTCCTGGGTTTCAGAACTTTTGGTAAGGATTGGGGTTAGAAAGGCCTTTTGCGGTTTTGGCGAGGGATTCTGGGTAGATTCGGATGTAGATCTGATCATGAGATGAGCCCCATGAAATTGAAGCTGTGCCCAGCTGAGATCCCAGACATTTGCAAGTGCGCATTTCTTGAGCCCCCAAAAATAGGAGGTTCCATACTGTAACACGACGGCCAATAAGCGGGAGAACAGAAAGCACATCTCGACCACCTGGAGTTGTTTAAGAGCCCTGCACACAATGGACAAGAGCCCTGCATCTCGGATTAAGTACGCGACGTCTTCGCTGTTGCCTTGCAAGTCCCATACTGCAAGTAAAGCACTTGCAAGAGTTGTTGATCACGATATGAGCCTCACCATGTAGTCTAGGACATTTTCAGGTAGGTAGTTACCGTTATAGGAGCCTTATAGAAGGTCTATATGTATATATATATATATATACACACACACCCTATGGCCTTATGGAAGCCTTATAGAAGCCCTATATACCCTAAACTCCCCACCTGTAGTTTCCTTTAATGTAGAGCAATCCAAGACCATCTTTCGGAAAAGAGTCCCTCATGACCCTAGGACCCTGAACCCGAAGTCCACCGAACCTACACCCTGCCGACTGAAGCCCCAAAACCCGAAGACCTCAAACGGCCAGGAAGTGCCGGAAGATGGCATCGCCAAGTTTCGGCCTCTGTCGCTGATTAGAGACTTTAGAACATCCTCTAGCTGAACGGTTATGACTGGATATTCATATCATGTTAGGCTATATTGGATCCTTAAGATGTTCAGCGTTGTAGCGCAGGGGGCTGGGCTTCAATTCAGGGTTTGCATGACCTCCCGGCATGTGTGCTCGAGGTGCCCTCGATGCACCGCCAGCTCAAACTTGCACACAGCCGATAACTCCCTAATCCTCCAGGTACCTACTATATAGGGCCCTAGGGGCTCTAGTACCCTATATAGTATAGTAGGTACCTGGCTCATAAACGATAAGCAAGTGCCACCTGATGTCAACATTCGCCAGTCAACGAAGGTGAGCACGCAGTGGAAGACACATGGCTCTTTCTGCTGCACATGCCACTTCATGTTACAATGCCTACAGCAGCTGTGCCCGCTGAGGTGATGTCGGAGTATTTCCGGAAGTTGATCAGGCCTGGGACACGGCATCATGCATTGGGAAGTTGCTGTGCGACAGGCAGACAGACTCGTTCCAAGGGTAGTCGCTGATCCGACCGGCTGGAAGGCTTCCCTGCTTGAAGGAAAGGAGAGAAAGAAGGGCATAAATGGGCGAGCCCTCTCGTGGAACCGGGTGGCGTGATAAGCGCCATTCGGGATTTTCGAAGTGCAGTTCCACCTGTCGTTTCCATACGGCTGTCGTCCATGAGAGGCGGGATCCGCCACCGGCGGCTCACATCCGCTTTCGCTGTGCAAAGCTTCACCGCGTCAGCGACGGGAAGGCCGCGGTGACATGGAGTTTGGAGTGCAGCTGGTAGCTTTGGTGAGGATGTTCTCAGATTCTGCAACAGCATAGCTAGCCTTGCGCACGTCTCCTTCCTGACGAGTTGGCACATGCCAGCGAAATCTATCCAAGGGTTCAGGGATGCTGGAAGCAGGAAAACGAATACAACACGATCTATGACGTGCTGAAGTCGCGGGGCTGGAAGGAGACAGATGTCGATTCGGAGCCTCGTTCGCCATAGACTTCGCAAGGGCGACTGAAGTTATCACCACGTTCTCTGAAAAGAATTTCCATCGGTTTTGCTAACCACCTTGACAATGCCAACAAACTGTCCAAAAAGAAAGTGTACACACGGATTTGTCAGCACCCCACAGTTCCAGATCCAAAAGCATCGCAGAAGATAGCCGCTCGTGCTTCAAGATCTGCTTTCATCTAAGGACTCTAGGAGGGACCCCTAATAGGAACCCTTAATTAAGGGTCCCTCCGAAAGCCTCTAGATTTCATGAATGCAGAAATCCTGCGGTTCCTGACATTGTGGCTATATGCTCCAAGTGAGAAAGAATTTGAAATTTTCAGGAAACTAGGGGCCGAGGCTTCAGCGACGCCTTGGGCGGATGCGTTCCGTCTCTTCCAAAAAGATGACAGCACCCTCGCTACGAGGGTTTAGGGGCAATCTTTCAACACATCAATGGAGAAGCATGGCAATGTTCCACCCACAAGTCTGCCAACGATATCTTGTTGGCCTGTTTCAGTAATCAGTCAATATACTCCTCTCCCCAATATTATGATAAAATATGATACAGTAGTAGAAAATCGGAATCTATTTACGTTAGCTAACACCAATAGTACAATAGAATACAATATTTCAGTTCCAGCTGAGGACTGGCACATCTTTTGGACTGACAAGGATTGGATCCATTCTGTTTTCGACAAGATGCACCTGGACCCCGGTCGGTTGAGACTGTTTCCAGGTTTGGGGTTTAGTGTGGGCTGTTCGTTTGCGTTGAGCTCAGGGATGTGTAGGATTTGTGGCTTTTCTAGGGCTGCGAGGTTTGAGGTCCATAGATTGGAGGGTTTACGGCCTCGGGCTTCGGCGTGAACTGTGTTTGTGGGAGGCTCACATGAGGATTGTTCGAAAGTAGGCTTACCAGTCAGGTGTTATTTTATGCAATGCTTTCCCCGAGCCCTAGAAGGGACCATAGTGTAGAACAGCTCCATGCCCCAAAACCCGCCGCAGACCACAAAATCGTGTCCCGAGGCTTCAATTTCAACATTTGGGCGTGCTGCATATCTTTCAGCGGTGTTCTTGACTTCGAGAAGTTTTCCGGAAGACTTGTTGCCGAAATTGCAGCCAGGTGCAAGTCTCGGGTGCATGGTTAACGTCTGCAGGACCCCCATCAGCACGTGAACCACTTCTTGAACCACTACGAACTGACGAGAAAGGACCTCTTGGTGAAGAGCCATGGCTGTCATTGACAAGCCATCACTGTTCTGCTTTTCATTGGTTTCCTTTAGTGACATGGTGCTGTTGGCGGAACGTGCACGGTGGCTAAGGAACATGAAGAGGATGAAGCGGCAGTGTGAGAAGGAGTCTGGAGTATGTGCAAGCAGCCACAACATCAGAAGTTCAACAGTGTCTGTCAGCAGAAGTAAGTGTTCTATCTCTGCGGGTGGGCCAATGCACAGCAAGTTCGTGTGCAGCGGAGCCTTTATGTGTACTGGATCTCACAGCGCTTCTCAATATTTCAGATCAGGATCAGCTCTGATATTGCACTTCTCATGTTAGTCAGGTACAGTCCTCTGCCACACCAACCGACCTGCAGCAGAGCTGATAGCAAAGAGTGCAAGTCAGTCCAGTCAGTAAATCCATCAGTGAGTCAAGTAGTCAGTCATTCAGCCGGTGAGCCAGTCAGCCAGCCAGCCAGTCAGTGTCAGTTGGGGGTTTCCGAAAATAGGGGACCCATATATAGTACCCTAAATAGTAGGATCCTTATTATAAGGACCCCAGAGTAAGATACCCCTAATTTTTGGAAACTCCCAGTTAGTCAGTCAGCAAGTTAGCGCACCTAGACTCATCAGACGAATTAGCCGTCCCACTACTTACGACTTTGCTCAAGGTAGAAAACTACCCATAGGCCCCATAGTAGTTCCTTTTTGGAGTTACCTTATAGGATTCTATATATGAAACCCCAAAAAGGAACTACTTTAGGGCCTATGGGTAGCCAAGATAGCTTAGCCAACTGCGTCGCTGCCTAGCTCAACTTCTAGCCTGACGAGATGCTCTGAATATTCGAAAAGCGCTCTCATCATGCCAAAACAAATCTGTGCAAAACAAGTGCAAGTGTTTTCAACTACAGACTAGAAACCTTTGGGAGGTCACGAAAACCAACTGAAGAGGCCATATTGTTGACGCTGGCGGTTGTACTGTTCGATGAAACGGTAGTAGACACTTCAAAGCCATATGAAAAACTTCAGCGTTTAACCCAAACCCTTAGCAGAAAGAAATGAAGCAGGGGGAAGAAAAATGCAAGAACAATCACCCAACCAAAGAAAATGTAGTATTCACAGAAGCAAGCAGAAACACTCAAAGACGAAAGAGAAAGGATGTAAAAGAAGCAAGACAAAACGCCTCGAGAATCCAGATACAACCAGCCAGAGAGCAAGTAACGAAAATACAGCAAAAGGACCAGGACTGGGCAGCAGAAGACCACAAGAAGAGCACCGTAAGACGGAATCCGAAAGAAGCAAGAAGAAGCACCCAAAGAAGTTCGAATGGAAGCCCATGGAAGCAATACCAAGCACTTAAGTCCTAGATCCGACGCCCCAAAGCCTAAACCCCTAAACCCTATGAGTGGTTGTCAAAATTATGGTCCCTTTTTGGGTCCTTATTATAATACGACACCTATTATTTAGGGTACCCCAAAAGGGACCATAATTTTGACAACTACCCATATGCAAAGAAGCAAGAAGGAGGGGCGACTCGCGGAAGCGGCGCGCTACAACATTTGCCCGATCACCTTCGTGGTTCCACAGGACGAGTGGCTTCGGGGGGGGGGGGGGGTTCGGGTTCCTTTCAGGCTTTGGCGGGATTTCTTAGAGTTTCTATAACGATTTAGGGCAGGTTACGGTTTTACGTTTAGAGTTGAAGGGGTTCTGTGCGACGTTTGGCGGTGCATGATGTATGCTGACTTCGCGGAGGGTTGCTGGAGTGCGTTTGCTGCTGCGCGCTTGCTGATAGGGTCGGCTAAAACACTCGAGACCCGAAGCCCGTAGGGCATGTTTTAGAGTTGTTTAGGGGCGCCTGGAAGATGAGGATTCTGAGGAGGCATGCCCTAAGGCCCTTGCACCTGGTGTAAGCAACAAGGATCCGGTTTTGGAAGCCGATACAAAAGGTTGCTCCCTTCTACGATGATGATGCTCGTGAAACTATTAACTTTGAGTCCGAGTTGGTCATCATGCCTCCGCGCAGGAGTACAGCATGTTCGTGGAAGAGTTCAAGAAATGGAACCTGGACGTAAACGGGTGCACGTATTTTGGCACTCTGTAGCCACACCTCGGATTCCACCGGAAGCAGGCCGAAAGCATACGGAAATCAGCTTCGGTTTCCGGAAAGCTGGATGTTGTTAAGAGCAATTCTTTCTCTGGCTCGGGCTTGCTCCCCCCTCTCCAGGTCAAGGGGTAGCCAAGCTCTCACAAGTACAAGGGAGAGTGAAGACATCAGACCTCCAGAAAGCAACGACCCTAAAGCCTAAACAGGCCGCCGACTCTAGCTTATAATTCGTAGACGCTGGACGGACCCTCTCGACACTGAGGACAGGTTCCACTTGGATTATGAAGCCAATTGGACGCTCTCAAGGATCCGGCATATTTCTAGTGAGCCGTGGATTTATTTAGGAGGTTTGCCGGGGGCTATCGTGTCCATGTTTGACGTGCGGCACCTCGCATTGCTTCTATGGCGATGACCCATACTGCTACTGGCACTGTCCTACTCCTACCTTTGCTCCTACTCCCACTCCTACTGCTGCTGCTGCTGCTGCTCCTACTGCTCCTCCTCCTCCTCCTACTACTACTACTACTGCTGCTACTCCTGCTACTCCTCCTCCTCCCGTTACTACGACGACAACGACTACTACTTCTTCTCTGCTTCCCGACAGCAGTCGCTACTAACTATCGCTACAGCTACGGCCGCCGCCACTTCTGCTTCTGCTCCGGCTTCGTGTTACTGTCCTTGCTTTCCTGTGCTGCTACTTCTTGTGCCGCTGTCATTGTCGATCGTGGTGGAACATCTGCTTCGTTGCTCACAGCTGGTCTCGGGCAGAGTCGTCACCATCCCTGCCATGCCTTGCTACTTTCAGAGTCAGCATCATCAGCGTCCACGTCATCATCAGCATCACCATCACTTCTTGGTGTTTAGTTATACTAGGAGTAGACTTAGGTTTCGGTGGAGCTTGGGCCCTCCCTGAGCAGCTGAGCAGGAGATGTAATAGCAACAGAATCTTAAAGTCATAAGGCCAACGTGAGTCCACATCGAAGGATAACGACGGTGTCGTGCTACTGCGAGGAGGGTTGTGCGTAAGGACACTTGTAAGGGCAACGCGTTACAGGTTTAACTAGCAATACAATTGGCAATGCTGCAAAAGACGAAATCACCTTCGATGCGCAGTCATCGTAGGAGTAGCAAAGAATGTTACATGAGCAGTTTGGAGGATGACACTAGCGATGTCAAGAATGAACAGCCGATGTCAAAAGTGACTTGGTTGATGGAATGCTGAAAGTCCCAACACCCAACATTCAGAAAACACAGCACACAAATACAAAACTAATTGTTGGACAAGTGGCAAGTATGACGTCAAGGAAGTAGAGGAGCACAGCAGGTACCGGCGCGAGAAGAAGAAATCTAGGACTCTAGGATTGGCAATGCGTAATGTTCGTCTGATTATCACTATGAACCATTTTTCACGACAGCTAGGCTCGTGAGCACAGACCCCTGGGCTAAACCCTAAACACTAAACCCCTGAACCCTAAACCCCTAAACCCGTAAACTCTAAACCCTAAACTCCAAGGAACAAGCTCGCCCAGACTCAGCAGTGGAAGCCCAAGCAGGCACGGCTTTGGATGTATGTTTCGGGTCTTTGCTGCTTGACATAGGGGCCGAAATAGCTACCAATATAATTCTTTGGGGTTCCTTGACGAGTTTATACTATAAAGGGGCCCAAAACCCTGGTCTAATTATTGAGGCACCCACATTAGATCGTTGGGCACCTTGGTGTTTGGCACATCCCAAGCAGCCTTTTCGGAAAACGAAAAGAAACACGAACTTCCTTCAAAACCCTTGAACTTCAAACCAGAACACCTGTCACTCTGTAAGGATCAAGGGGGTTGCACCAGCCGTAACCGGAGCGACTCGCCTCTGAGGATTGGAATCCAGTGCAGCCGGCAAAAGCGTCGGAGGAGAAGCCGAACCAACGCTTGCTGCATTCATGTTGATGGCTGCCCAAGTAAGGAACGGTTCAAGGTCCACTGAACCCTAGGTGCTGCCTTAAAGTGCCAAAACCCGGTGGCAGCTGATTCCGAAAGAAGGGTGAGCGAAACTGCATGCTGGGCTGTCCTTGCGTTGGAGCGCGTATACTTAAGACGTGTGCTCTTCCTTCTTTTTGGCATGCAATCTGAAGCCTCGGCACTTTGCATGGAATGCCGAAGGCTTGAGGAATGCAGCTGTGGCATATTCCTGGCCGAAATTGACCAGATGCAACTAAGCCGAAGTCCACACATGGGATTCAGACCCTTCGACCCTAACCCTTTGAACACCCTGCAGAACGACATCCGGAATGGTGCATCTACAAGCTAAACGACTGTGGGTACCTAGGTAGCTAGCAAACAGAACAGGAAAGTTGATCTCTCGTTTTCTCTTTTATTCCTTCTCCTGGCCGTTAAACTGCACTTTTGTCGATCTATCTATGTGTATCTTGCCGTGACCGCTCCATCATCCACCTCTGTTTCTTCGAATCTCCGTATTTGTTATTTTTCCTCTTTCTGCCCGTGTCTCTGTTCTACCTACCTATCCCGTGATGCCAGCCAGCCGATCTTTTCATCGATGAATCCTATCTGTCCTTCTCTTTCCTCAGTTCGTGGGCTTGAGGTCCAGTTCAGCAAGTGGAAAGGATGTTGCGACGGTGCGGATAGCAGTTGCTCTGGTAGTGCAGTGCCGAAGTTGACGCGCACAGGACGATGAAGCCGCTGGTGTGGCCGCAGGGCCGCATGAAGGTCAGGTAGAACAGCGACCAACTCTTCGGCTGGCTACACAAACTTCTTGGCTCGAGATGATGCGTGTCTTTTCGAGCCATCGATCCATAGCACCATGCATGTTTTTCCAATTGGCCACTACAATATGAGGAGATGGGGAAGAAAGCGCGGGGTTGAGGCTCAACGCGTTCATGAGTTTTGCAGCAGCCCTATATAGCATGCAGTTTCCTGACCGTTTCAACGATGCTGTCCCCTGTTGGTTTTCGAAGCCCCGAAACCCAAACTCCAGCGTCTTACCTGCTGCTCCAGCAAAGCACCAAGGAAACCTACGTCGCGCAGTGACCGAGCTGAAGTTTCGAAAACGATGTATCGATAGACCACCCGCGTTGCTATAGTTCTCCTCATGCTATTGTTACTACGCCATTTGTAAATCTAAGACTAGAATGCTGGAGTTTTGCTCGCCACTTTTCGATTGAGGAAGTACGTGGAAGCACCTCTGCTCATCGGTGGTAAGAAGTTCGCAGCCCGACTGCATCCACGGCTGCTTTACTTTACCATCCTCCGACCTCGGTTGAAGCCCAGTGACTGGGCTTTATTTAGCGTGGCACCAGGATATGCGGCTCTATGTCTGCGTCACGAGCTACCATCCTCTGACGGCTCCGTCCTCAGCTCCCCTCAGCCTATGCCAGTGTGCAACAGCTTGTTATTCCTGGGCCGCCCTCATGCCGCCACTTAGGTTTATATGCATCGCGGAGGGTTCTGCCGGTTTTCAATGTCCCGCTACTCTTCGGACAAGAGCAACCTCAATGACCTGGGCTCGCACCTGACGAACGTAGCGGCCGGGATCCCAGCGAAGGAGGTAGGAGCCAAAAGCGCAAGCAGAGCCATGGCACCCAGGTTCAGAAGCACAGCGGCAAGGCTGCCTACAAGAGGACCGGAGCCAAATGGGATGTGAATAACTTGAAGTCCTACCTGCTGACCACGGCACCGTCCTCAGAGCCAGAGCCACCCTCATAGTTCTCCTGCAGATTATGGGTGATTCTATGTAAACTTCTGCGAAGTTGAGGCAGGGGTTGATGTCGTGAATCAGCTCTTCCATGACATCGAGGGCATTGTCATCCACTCTCTGCTCTCGGTTCAGAAGGCCCGGTCGGCAACCGATTGGACATGGAGGAGTCAGATGTTTATCACCGCAACAGCCACAGCAGGCGTAGCATAGCAAAAGGCAACAATGAGGACATCAAAGAGCGATTGGAAAAGCCAGGTGAAGGCAGATACAGATACCGGGTACACAGACGTCTTGGATGGCTGAAGACGAGAAGCGATGTTGTTTGTAGTGTTTGTTTTGGTTTACAAACCTGCAGGACACAGAGTTATATACCGAAAGCCAGTGCTATTTGTATGCAGAGGCTTGCAAGCCGAGTGTGGAATTCAAGCTTTAGCAGCTGCAGAAAGGCCGTGAGCGAGTCTAGACACCCAGGACGGCACAGGCCCTGCAAAGAAGTTTGCAACGCGCGGGTAGGAAGCTTGTTGAGTGCCACCTTAGGTTGGATAGGAGAGCAGCGCGCAAGCTGGTCGCAGCGAGCGCTCATAATTGCTGCTGTTTCCGCTGCTGGCCTTCCTACCTGCTGCTGATGCTGGTGTTGACCCTACCCCACATCCCGGAGGTCATGATCAACGACAAGCACTGCTTCGAGATGCAGCTTGAAACCACAGAGGGGACATATGGTTTCAACATGCGGTGTCCTTCTAAGAGTCTGGATTTTGTCACGGAAACAGTCTGCACGGGGGCCCCTGCACAAAATTATCATGCTATATTCCGAAGCGGAGGGCACGGGCAATACACTAATGTGCCCGTAACCGAAGCATCAGGAGAAACTTTCTCTGCTGACTCGCAGATGTGGCCATGGTCAAGACATAGTTGAATTTCTTGTCGCATGTTCAATCCGCTTCCACAGCGCTACATTACTTCGTACAGCTCTTCAAGCTGCCATAGGTATGGTTACGACATCCTCATTGACTCTGAGTACAAGCCCTGGCTTTTGGAGGTCCACCGGTTTGAGCTCCTGGGTTCTTCAGAGCTTCGCTGGTGTTTGGGGTTCAGCTGCCGCTTGAATGGAGATGCTGTGCCTGGGAATAAAGTGCAGACGGCTGAAAGAGCACTTGCAGCATGTAATTAGGGGAGGGGGGAGGGGGGTACACTGGGGGTTACACTATAAAATAGATACATAAAGGAACCCTAACGATTAGGATTGGTAAAAAAAAGGCCCTCATACTTTCGGACGCAGCCCTATGGCAGAATTAACCATTTCTTCTTCGGGCGGGCCACTCCCAAAGAGCCAGCACTCCGTGCAGCCGACTTAAGTTGCAACAACCCAATAGCGTAGGGGTCTGCATAATTTGTCACAGTCTTTGTTCTTATAGACAATACAGCAAAGCCCTCTTCCATGAAGCCCCCTATACAGCCCCTATATATCAGTGCTTGAGTACCACTTCGAAGCCTCGATAGCGTAGCATCTCATCTGCCAGGTCAATGCCTCGCCGTCGTTGACAGCTAACACCACCGCAGATTACGTTGCTGGACGGCAAGCGGTTTGGCAGGTGTCTGTGGACGTCTAGTTCTGCACATAGAGAGTTTCGGGCTGTTGAGTTTAGGATGCTTTGGCAGTGTGAGAATGTGTGTTGATTGTGCGGCTTGAGTGCATGCGCCCGTGGTTGACGCAAGGAAATGAAGTATGGACTCCTCGATGACCTCCTCACGCGACTCGGGCATCGAAGAATTTCGACTCGGGAGCGCCGTCCTGGTCCTAGACTGCCGTACAGCGGGAGTGACATTCGGTGGGCTGTGAAACTTGCAGAACAAAAGCTCAGTTTTTGTTATGTTGTCTCTTCCGGACATACAAGAAGTTTCAATGACCTTCCTGGTCTCCAAGATACCTCACTGCCCTGTGAAAACTGGCTTCAGAATGATCGGGTAACACCGCACAGAAAAGCGGCGCCAAGTTGCCGATTGGTGTCTCGACCCTCGACGAGTCCTTTCCATGTTGAAGACAGCTTGTGGTGCGCCACTGGTGGTTCGGAAACAAGCAAAAAAGGCTCCCTAAACCAAGGTTTTCCCAAGTCAGAGAACACAGTTTAGGGTTCGGGTTCAGTCAAACCCCTAAACCCTAAACCCTAAACCCCGCAAACCCTAAGCCCGAAGCCTGTCGAGGTTGCTGGACATCGAGAAGTACCTCAGCGGAAATGAGCTCCAGGTCGGCGGCTTCGACTTGCTCTACAAGGAGGGGCCGCGCCTGCTTTTGAATACATAGGGCTTTGGGGTAGACTATATACTATATAATACTATATAATTATCACGGGAACTTGCAGGAATAGTGCGTGCCCAAAACTCAGAGCTTTACACCTACGTACATGGGTCCCAAGTAGATACTGGCCTCAACTCCCTGTCTTCGAAAACCTCGTCATAGGATGTGGAGCTTCTGACTTCTGATGCCCAAAACACCCAAGAGTTCCCCCGAAGCTTTGGGTTCCAAAGCCGACCTCTTAAGTGGACCGCTCGTTGCTGGGAACTCAGCAGGACGGCTACCGCTACTCTCCTCCCGAGGGCTCCATCTTCACGTCCTACTTGGGCCCAGGGCACCCAGCATGCTGTGCTGCGTCGTGCTCTCGCGTAGTTTTCGTGGGTTGGGGGGGTTGCAGTGGCGTGTGTGGCTTGGCTTAGATTTGGGTGCTTGGCAGGATGGGCGTGTCAGTTTAAGCAGTGAACACTAAGCCAAAACTCGGGGATCTAGAGTGCGTAAAATGTGCGAAATGCCCCAAGGCTGCTACAACAACCGACTCACTCAGCTCCAACGCCTGGCCAAGACACGTGCCCAGGAGATGAGGTCAGAAGGGGCGGCTAAAATAAAACCCGAAACCCTACTAATAGAGGCGCCTGAATAATTACCAACATCAATTCTGGGGGTCCTTTTTTTTTTCAGTATAGTATAATGGGCCCCCAAAACCCTATTCTAAATATTACTAAGGCCCCTAGATTAAGCCTTAAGACCGGGTCTTCGTTTGATTGCAGGGGTAGCTGGAATCAGGCTCCAGGTTGGATTTGCTAAGGCTGCTGGACTGGAGGATACCTCTCGTCTCCATTGTAGTTCCTTTTGGGGGCCTACCTTATAGGATCCTTGATCTAGAAATGGGGGTTATTTTATGGGAACTTATAGGTTTCTTGATCTAAAATTGGTTAAACAGAAAAAGGAGCTAGTAGAGAGCAGAGGACCTCAGGCGCAGGGTCTATGCTGATTGGAGCCTGACTAGCATCGGTTCCAAAAGCCAAGGAGAATGCCCTACTTTTTGGAGAGTCGGTATCAGCAGAATGTTAAAAGCGGCAACGACAGCCTCAGATAGGAGCAGTTTAGGATAAGCGTGAAACAGTTAGCAGCTAGCGACATTGTCCATTTCCGAGCCATGCCACCCCAAACCATGACAACCCCTACTGCACCCCAACCCCTAAAGGACCGAAAGGCTTGTGGGAAAGACCCGACTACGAGACCGAAACCCAGAGTTGCACCTTTAGGGTATAGGGTTTTAGGGTTTAGGGTTTAGGGCTTAGGGTTTAGGGTTCACCCTTTTCCAACCTTTGCAGAAGCCCCCAAAACCCGAAGATCCGGCTGCAGGGGTCACCAGCACCAAAGCAGAGATTCCCTCGGCCGACGGCTGAGAAAGCAGAAGCGAGGAACAGCTCTTCAGGGTTTCGGGGTCGAGGGTTCGGGATTGAGGGTTTAGTTAGGGTGCAAGGTTCAGGGCTTAATGTAGGGGCCTTAATACTTAGAATAGGATTTTGGGCGCCCATCATACTATGATCATAATAACGAACCCCCCCAAAATAGTTTTGGTAATTGTTTAGGATTTAGGCTCCTACATTAGCCATGTTTAGGGCTCTTGGGCTGAAGGATAGGTTGAAGCGCCTCGGGTTATGACTCCTGCTTGGGGCTTAAGGTTTCAGGAGCTTCAGAGCTAGTTTCGCCCCTACTCATATCGAAGTAATACTTACCTATATTACTTCGTTAGGATACTTTATTATGACTACATTAGGATCCCTTATTATGACTAAACGATAACATACACCCCCAAACCCGAGAGCGGCGGCATTGAACAACTTGTTAATGCCAGATTCTGCGAGCTGGGCCAATGTCTCGCAGCAGGCGATGTATGCTTCCTTCAAGCGTCTCACCTTTAATCCTCTTATACGTGCCATGGCTTTGCGAATCATGCGAATCGGGTGGAGGTGCTTATCCAGGCCGTATTCTAAGCATCAAGGCCCTCATAGTGTGCCTTCCCGCATCCAGCGACCCTCCAAATCCACAAAGCCCGAGACTAAGAGCCAACCGTTCAACGACTCTCACAGGCCCAAAGCTACTTGAAACCATCTCTGGCAACACTTCAGGCTCTCCGTCGGCCGGAGATGAGAAGGCGAGGCTGTTCTTCTTTTGGGGTTTAGGGTTTGGGGCTTTGCAGTGTGAGCTGAAGTGCAAAGATGCAAATTCCACCGCATGGATTGCAACATGCAGAAATCTTCTGGCTTGCTGGTGGGATGCGCGATGATCTGCGCACAGTAACTCTATGAGTCCGCTGAGGCACCCAGCTCGCAGCCTGCTACGGACGTTCACAATACGTGCTAGCATGTCCGCTATCATGAACAGCATGAATTGGGTGTCACTACTGGAAAGGCATGATCATGGGCATCACGGGAGATGTTGCAGATTAGTTCGTCGTAGCTTAGCAGATTCATCCTGGGACCTGTCATGGTTGTTCCTGGAGCACCAATGTTTGTCGCTGCGATCAGTTCCTTGTGGATATGTGCAAGCCATTGTGGAGGCAGCTTTCGCCCGGCCTCATGATCTCATGTATGTTCGCGCATGCATTCCACCACGCTTCTACACAATCATGAAAGCCTGGAATCTTGTCAGGAGGCAGAGCTGGGCCCTCAGCTGCTTCCAGAGAGTAGAAGAGATCGACAAAATCTGTTGGCTTTTGCTTTCGGTTTTCGTGCACGGGAATTTGAGCCTCAGCGATTGCTGCTGCAGTTGCGCCCGAGGGTTGGACATCACGTTGGGTTGGGGCTTCTCGAGTGGCTCAAGCTGGCTGGCTTCGGTAAGCAGCTTTGGTTCCTGAACACCTTGCCCGACAATACATCTCGCATATTATCATCTCCATAGTCGCATTGGC